ACCACACCTGAGCCAGCGAGGATCCACATTTGTGGGTCTGGCATCACTGTTATCCAGTCCACATGGTTTGAGAATAAGAAATGGCAGTTCCCCAAAAGAAACTCCAAGAGGTTTGCAGTTTTGGTTTTTTTTAATGACAGGGAAAGTAAATGGGTGCTGTTGTTGTTAGGTGACATCGAGTCGACTCCGAGCGACCCTATGTACAACAGAATGAGACACTGCCTCGTTGTGCACCATCTTCACAATCCTTGCTATTACTGGGCCCAATGTTGCAGCCCGTGTGTCAATTCATCTTGTTGAGGGTCTTCCCCTTTTTCACTGACCCTCCACTTTACCCATGATATCCTTCTCCAGAGAATGGTCCCTTCTGAAAACATGACCAAAGCAGATGAGACCAAGTCTGGCCACTCTCAATTCTAAGGATCATTCTGGCTGCACTTTTCTCCAAAGACAGATTTGTTCCTTCTTCGGGCAGTCCATGGTATTTTCAGTATTCTTGCCAACACCACAACTCAAAGGCATCAATTCTTCTTTGGTCTTCCTTATTCATTGTCTGGCTTTCACATGCATATGAGGTGATTGAAAATACCTTGACTTGGGTTAGGTACTCTTTTGTCTTCAAATGACATCTTTGCTCTTCTATACTTTAAAGAAGTCTTTTATAGCAGATTCTCCCAGTGCTACATGGCCAAGATAACACTGTCCCCATCACCCTGACTGTGTACAATGGTTTGTAACTTACATTTTCTAAGTCTCTTCATGTCCTAATAACAGCACTATGTACCAAGTGCCCATTCTGTGCCGACCCTGTCCATTTTGTTAACATATTTTTCTCATTTAACCATGAGCATCCTTTGAGAATGAGGCCTTACATCATCCCATCTTACAGATGAATGTGTTTTTAGTAGTTAAGTATTTCACCTAAGATTAGACACCCAGGAAGTAGTGGAGCTTGAACTCTGTTCTAACTCTTAACTAGATCAAGATCCCAACATCACCTTACTTTTTGCTTACTTTGGACTTGTCATCAGGAAAGACCGATCACTAGAAAAGCACATCATGTTTGGTAAAGTTGTTGAAAATGAGAGAAGCTCTCAATGAGATGGTCTAACATAGTAGCTGCAACAGTGGGCTCAAACACACCAGAGATCATGAAGATGGGCCAGGGCCGGGTAGTGTTTTGTTGTGTTATAAATAAGGTCACCTTGAGTTGGAGCCAACTCAACAGCAACTAACAATAAACATATATTTTAATAAGTGGGTGAGTTTTCAATCTTTTTTT